TCTCAAAAAGGAGTTACCTAAAAAGGCGCCATAAAGCTGCTAATGCTTGAATCTGTGATGAATATATGAGGGAGAAAAACCAATGAAGAGTTGACACATGGCAACTTGCAACTGAGATCAGATCTGAGGTAAATGCAGCAGGCAATGTCCCTCCGAAAAGAATCCCCGATATAGCAAGCGCTTTAACAACATAAATAAATATAAAACTAAAAAAGAACCAAACCGTAGACCAAATTTGGATTGCATTGAGAGATACAATGCCAAGAACTCCAGTCAATTCTATGTTCAACTTGAAACCTGCAGGGACTCCCATCAACCACACACAACCCGTACGCAATATGTTATTTGTGACATCCCTAGCAAGGTTAACAATCAATGAACAAGCAGAATCTGCATAACATAACAATGCCACACCAACCACATTTCCCAGGAAAATATCAGCAGCTATGCTTGACCACATTGAATGCCTCTGTAAAGCAACTTTGTCCTCATATTCAACATTTGATAGGAACCTTCCGAAACAAGTAGAAGATAAAAAGAAAAAACAGTTCATTGTTTATGAAAATGAAAACCCCACAACAAAGAAAATTAATAGAGCCAGGAAAGACATCCAAATAGAATTTCTTACCCCACGCCGCGCTCTTGAAGTATAATTGGCCAATACAAAATTTGACAACACCGAATATGGGCATTATTGTATGAGGTCATGAAAATTTTTGAGACTACATCAGACGTCCATAATTGTAGTCCAAGACTATGAAGTTTATAAGAAAACTGAAAAGTCATGTAGAAGAGAGTAGAAAGTGAAGCAATAGACACAGCCAGAAGACTCCACATGAATGAATAACACCTGCAAAGAGAAAGTGCTGAACATCAAACAGTTCAAGTAAATATTGATAGAATTTGGTTTCTTGTTCAAAAATTTAAAAAAAAAAAAGGTAAATATTTAGAGTTCAGTTTCCAGAATCAAAGCCAAAAGAGAAATACCTGTCAACGATGGAAAACTGAAGAGAGCTTTTAGCATGCAAGTGTCTTTCAAGTGGTCTTTTAGCAGCTGCCGCACAATTGATAGCCAAAATGACTGTATCCTGTACATGGTAAATAGGCATATAAGAAACCACTATTCTGCTAGCCTGAAAACGGGAATCCTTAAATTTTCCATTACCAAGTCAAAACTTGATTCCTTTTGCTGAAGTTCATCAACCCATTTTGGTTTCTTGAAAGATGAATTTTCTTGCTCGTATGAATTGGAAGGTTGCAAAGAGAAATAATGGTGGTTATATAAAGGAGGATCATAGAATACGACCTACATAATTTCAAACCAGACAGTTAACCAAGATTTAACAGTTAAAAGATTTGGAACAAATCAAAAGAAACCTTGATTAATCATGACTTACATACGTGGACATCACAATTAGACACTTTCTGCCCATTCCAACAAAGGTAGTCCAATTTAGGAATCCAAAATAGTTCTGACTTTCCATGCTTCTTATCAGAATCAAATATCAAGAACACCAAATTACTGCTCCTACTACAGACTCGCCTACATTGCTCTGACAACCCACCTAAATAACGGCATTGAGCAGTGGATCTACTACAGCTGCCTGTGACATTACCGTCTCTATTCATCCAGCATTCATGGTGACAACAAAAACCTTTTTCTCCATTCAATACATCAATTCTGTCGCTTGAAGAAATTCCATTACAACCTTTTGGAGCAGACTGACCAAGTAGAGAAAACACTGACTTATCACGCAAAATTGCAGGCATGGTCCTGTTTGTATTACAGATGACTTCCTGGAAGACGATAATAATATATTCATTTGACTTTTCTTTGAGAATACAATAACGGTTAAAAATGTATTCCCGTTCCCGTCATAAGAAATGAAATGACGAAAAATATTAGTGAGCGGTCCAAATAATAATGAACCATACTTGTAAGTTCTTTCAGGGACTCAGAAGAGATTAGCTCCTATAGTAATTGCATGACTATGACCTAGTTGATTCCTTCAAAAAGAAAAGCAATGAATTCTTGTGAAATATGGCTTGAACACCCCACGTGCTCGATTACAATTTTTCTTTATTACGTCCAGCTACTTAGTGTGTTCATCATTAACTTATGTCATAGCTATGCATCCAAGTTGATTGGAGATAAAGAAATAATCAATATGGAGGGGGAGGCCAAGAAGGAAGGAAGGAAGGAAGGAAGGAAGGAGAGCAATTTCCCCCATAGTTTGTCTTAGACTATAAAGGTAGAATGTAAAATTTTGCCCAACACGTTCCCACCCTTGTCTACATGTAAGCAACTAAAAGATGAATATTGATCAAATAACCGCCAATTCTCCATCCTTATTTCTATAGTTCAATTGTTCCTTTCCATATCTCAACTGCCTCACATGAGCATTAATAATAATTCGCTCACATACATCATCATGAATAAATTTAGATACTTCAATTCCACTCTACAAAATCATGATGAATTGATAAGATTTCTCATTACATGAACTGCACAAATGGCACAAAGCTTATACCAACAGTGTAGAAGAAGAACGCTATACCTCGAGGTCGCCTTGAAGTTGAGACAGTGAATCATCACTACAAGTGAATGCCACTACAACGTCAAGGGAATCCAAAGAAGGAACAAACCAACCAAACAACAGACAAAAAGACGACAGTTCACATGGTGAATGCTGCTTGGGCCACCATAGTCTAAACTTCCCCTTCATTTTCACCTCACGATTATTATACCCTCTGTACCATCACGTATTCCCACACTACAACAATCTGCACATCAAAATTAGTAGTGCCCGTATAAGTTACAAAATTAAGTAGCTACCCTTATAATGTATGAAGTAAATTCAAATCAGTAGGATTGACCTAATGATCGCTAATTGTAGCACATGATAGAAAGTATAATGAGTAAAAGGAACTTTGGACGGTGGCCACCTATCAAGCTACTAAAATCTTAAGAGTTTTGCAACAACTAAATGCTAGTTGTGGAGTTAAGTGCTTGTCCCGCGAGATTAGTGGAGATTAAGTTCAGGTGCATATTGAGAAAAATGTAGTAAAGAAATTTCATCCTCGATATTGCAATCACCATTTCCATCCAGAACAAATCTTCCTAGAAAAAAAAACGCTTCACGCAATAATCTAAAATAGAAACACAACGATGCAGTCGAACTCTATCCATGGTTTCAGGCAGCATATCAAGGACACATAATTTAAGCAATGATGATTGCAAAAACTGGTTCGGAGAAACAAAACATGAGCTGTAAGCTAAAATGCCAGGTCCTCGTAATTCGATTTCATAATTGGTTGAAATCGATGAAACTATTTCGAAATCAAGCAAGACCTGCACGCGGTGAGAGGGAGGAACCACCATATCTACAATTGATATCGCCGACGCTTGCAACCAGCTGTGAAGGTCTGCGTGAAGAGAGGGCTTAGCGAGCAAGGCCACCGGCTGCCGCCGCTGACCGAAAAGATAAAAACCGAAGGCCGGCTGCGGCCAAGAGACGGTCAGATTTGGCGGTGACGCCGATGGATCTGAGAGTACAAGGAGGAGAACTGCGAGAGAAGATGAAGATGGCCTAAAGGAAATGGAATAGAGCAAAAGAATTATAAAATATTTTATATTTAAAATTTTAATTATTAATTTAAGTGTATAGTCGACAATAAAAATATTTAAATATATTTTTTCCAAAAAATAACAATCCATTAAATATAATTGAATTAGACCGAAAACTCTATTCTATTATTTTTTTTAAAATTCAAAATTCAAACTTTCCAATTATAATTTTTAGAATTTTATTAACTATAAAATTTAATTTTTGTTTGATGACTTAATTTTAAAATAATATAAATTTTTTATATTTTTTATGAATAAGATTTAAAATAAAATTTATTTCGATCTATTTAAATTTTAATTTTAAAAATATCATAAAACTTTTAAAATTTTTATTAATATCCTCAATAATTTTTAAAAAATTATGATAGTTCCATTTCAAATATAATTATGAATTTACAAAAATAAAATTAATATTCTTAAACATTTTTCAATTCAATATTAGTATTTTTTTTAAAAACATTGTTACAAGTTCGGTTTAAAGGTATTTTTAAAAATTAAAAAAAATTACGAGTATTTTTATTAATTTAGCCTAAAAATATATAAATATTATCCATAATAACCACAAATTTTAGGTAATATATATATATATTTGTGATGAAAATAAAATTTAGAGAATTACAATAATTGTAAACTAAAATATAACGCACATGGGTCCAATAAATTTACTACTTTTTTTCCAATAAAAATATAATAGGAAAATCCTATATACCTGCTTGGAAGTTGCGGCGATATTGTTGGATAACAACCATGCACCTTCCGTCAGCGTATAATTAATTTTTTTAACTTTTGAAATAATAATTATTCACTATATTTATATTTAAAAAAATCAATACAAATTCTTTCGAAAATGGATCCAAAAAAATCAACTAAACTAACCGAACTAGGGATTCAATATTTAATAAGAATGTTTAAGGACAAGTTATATAGCTCCCAAGATATTTGTGCATTTAAGAGAATAAATTATTTAAATATTGTGGTGCTGGCGAATAAAGCTGGTGTAAATAAATGAACTAAAATCATATCTAAACCAGAGTAAATGACACCGTTAAAAAACGATGCAATTTCACCCTAAATAAGTAACAGTAAATCTCCACATTTTTTCTTTTCCACCCACACAATATAATTATTAAAAAAAGGGCAAAATAGTAAATTTGAAACACATCTAAGCCACGAAATTCAGGTACGGTCGTTACCAGACAAATTTCGAACGTGGCATGTTCCAATTCCTCGCTGATAACAATCCGTCAAAGTCAAGGAACAACACCGTCGACGCGCTTTAATCAAATTCACGCGCCAGATTTGAATAGAAAGATAAATAAATAAATAAATAAAAGATTCTTTTTTTCCACCTATAAAAAAGCCCTCTCGGCTTCTCTTTCGGTAACCGTAGGGCTTCATTGAAATCCGTCCGTCTCTACGGATAAGACTCCGAAATTTCTCACTGTTTTTCCCAAATTCCAACTCGGTCAATCCAGAATTCCCCTTTCTCTCGTTGATCTGGTAAATATTTCGTATCCTTTTCTGTTTTTCTTTTTCCGTTTTGATCTCCAGAATGCTCTGGGAGAACGAGACGAGAGGGAAATTTTGGTTTGATCTGCGCTCTTAGGTTTTGCTTTAGATCCGGTTGCGTTTCTTTGATTTCTTGATCTGCTATCTGTGTGATTTCGATTTATCTGTTTTTGTGCGCTGATTTCTTTGCGATCTGATGTAATCGTAGCGAACGGGGATTTCTTTTATGTTTTGTGATATTTTGATTTGATTGATCTAGATAACTGGATCAGATTTGTTCATGACTTGGCGAGGTCAATTTTAGCGAATTCGAAGAACAAAGAACGAAAACGTTCGCCCTAGCTTTACACATTTGCCTAGTTTGGTGGATTTTAAATGTTTGGCTGATTTTGTTTGTGGTTCTGAAGGTCCGTAAACAGCAATCGTAGAATTTCATTACAAAACAATGTCTCTAGCATCCGAAGAAAGATCAAAGCTAAACCCGAACGCTCCGCTTTTCATCCCGGCCGCCTACCAGGTGGAGGATTTCTCTCCACAATGGTGGCAACTGGTCACAACCTCGACATGGTACCACGACTACTGGCTGAGCCAACACCAAGAAGAGAGCGACTTCTCTTTGAATAGCGAAGACGATTATGACATTGCTGAATTTCTGCCACTGGCCTTAGATCTTGAAGGCAACGAAGAGCTCCGCACCATGGAAGCTGAATTCGAGGAGTTTATTCAAGCTTCTCTCAATGAAGGGACCCAAGAACTTCCTTAAGGTGACCCAAGATCTTCCTTCATGATCAGCTTGCTTGGATTTTCAGGTTTACCATGTTGATATAAGCACAAGAACAAATCTGCAGTTTTTTCTTTTTCTTTTTCTTTTTAAAATCTTCTGTTCAAAGTGACTTGTGTATAAAGCAAAGTTGCTGCAACGCCCACTTGTTCATTATTGTGCATCTCATTATGCGTCCCCAAAAAACAGTGTAAAAATAAAGGAAATAGCTTTTAAATGAGACCGATGAGTCTTCGTTGTCTACTTTTTTATATTATTATATTTAGGGAAGAAAAAATGACACATTGAGACTAATGGGTCAAGCAAAATTTGGTCCTCTAGAGAAAATATGAAAGAAGTTGAGGAGTCCCTTTCAATTTTTGAGTTGTTAGGGCTATTTGTAGAAATAAATGTAAAATATGGAAACTAGAAGGGCCCACACTATAAATTTGTTAAAAGTCACTTCCAAGGGAGAATTAGTTGTTTTATAGAGAGGTATACATAGAACCTTGACATCTTAAACTCTGGTGTAATTGAACCCGACATCCCAAACCCACCCAACTTGAATTAAAGGAGTTGGGTTGGGTTAATTTTTTGAACTCGAATAGATTTGGTTCCGAGTTTTGGCTTTGTTGGATAATTTTAGGTTGACTCGATTCGAACAAATCTTATAGAACATAATAGAGATGAGAACGGATGGATAAACACCTCTAAGAGTTTAAATATACTATTATAGAGGTTTAAATATACTATTATAATTTAAGAGGTATGGAGTACTGCTATTTGTTTGAAATTTTTAATAGAAATACCTAAAAAATTAGACAAAAAAAAAATTAAGATTTATTTGAAATAAAAGAACCATCGACTTCCATTTTCTTCTTATTATTATTCTTTCAAATTTTACATAATAAATAAACATAAATCATGTTTTCAAAGTTTTTAATTAGTTTTAAATAATAATAATTAAAATATAATTTTTTTGGAAATTGAGGACTGAAAAATAAAAAAAAGAGAAATTTAATGTTACAAAAAAAAAAAATACACCAAATCTAATGACGAGATCACCTCCCACCCAAACATTCTGTATGACGTGGCAAAAGAATTCCATGCAATAGCACCCTTGACTTCCACGTTGCACCAATCAAATCTCCCCACTCTATAAATAATCAAATTAGTCGAATCCTCATCAAACCGACATCCATTCTCCTCCTTCTCTCTTCATGGCGCAATCTCTTCAACCTCCTCCATCCCCGCCGCCGTGGGAGGTGCTGCTTCTCGTCGCCGAACGCCTCGACCCCAGAACGCTCGCCACCGCCTCCTGCGTCTGCAAATCCTGGTCCATTTCCATGGCCTCCAACCATCTCTGGGAGCCAATTTTTAGTGCCAAATTCCCTTCTCTCACTAACCTTGCCGCCTCCTCCGCCACCGCGTCACCTCCCTTGTCCTTCTGCCGCCTCTTTGGCCTCGGCCACACTGCTGCAGCTCGTCGCCGCCCCGCTCCCTCGAAACCCATCCTCTCCCTCTCCGACCTCATCTTCGTCATCAGCGTCTCCGGCACCGACAAAGCTGACGGTTGTATTGTCGGTGGCGGAGCCACGAAGGAAGAAAAGGGTAATAATCATTTTTATTCTCTTAGCTTAATTCTTAAATTATTAAGTACTATTTAAATATGATGCAAGCTACTACAAATTAATTATTTTTAAAAAATAAAAGAAAAATCTAATTGCTCTATCTAAATTTATATTTTAAATCAAATTTGATAGGGTTTATAAAACCAATTGGAGAATTGAAATCAACCCTTATGAAATTTTGTAGATGTGCCCGAACTCATGTTCACCATCGTGAAGCACGGTGGCGAGCTAGTGGTGGACCGAAACGGGCTGTTCAAATTCGACATAAATGTCAGCAAAGGCGACGAGGCAGTGGTGATCGGAGCTGGAGGGGAGGTGGAGGTGGTGTGGAACGTGGTGCTGGAAGGATGGAGGGCGGTGTTCACAATGATTGAATGTGGAGGAAGAGTGGGAATGGCGCCGAGAGCGGATGGGTGGTTCTCGGAGGAGCTGCCGGCGGCGGGGTGCTGCCCGAAGGAGGTGAGCGGCGGCATAGTGGCGGATCTGAAACTGGGGGTGTGTAAAAATGGGGAGGGTGGAAAGAATGATGAGGTCAGGATTGAAAGCGTAAGTGTGGGAATGATGAGTGTATTGAGTTGGAGATACGTGAGTTTGGATGATGGGTTGATGTATTTGCAGCATTTTTTGTTCAATCCTTAGAAAATTAGTTAAATGTGGGAGGCTGATTGTGCTAACTTGGGTTGGGTTAGATTCATACCATAGTAGAGAGTCTACCCGAGTCGGCGTTGTATGATATTTTTTTTTTCTTGTATATATCCAACTCGTTGTCATAATAGCATTTTTGTAGCATTCTTGCAGTGGTTGGATAGTAATTGTGCAACACACTTAATAAGTCAACCGTGAGAAATTCAAACGTTGCGGATAACGTCAATGTATGTTCGAGTCTCGAGTTGTAACAACATTTGTTTCAACACGGTGAACAAGTCAATTGTGAGAATTTTGGCCGTTGCAGACAACGTTGGCATATGTGGAGTCTCGAGTTACGTTTGCAAAATATGTTTTAGAAAACGTAAGCGAGAACGAAGAAAGTAACATTGTATCTTTGTAAGCAAGGAAAGAAACATCATAGTATAAATAACGTATAACTTCGGTACGGATTAGTTGTTTTTTTTTACATTTTAGTTATAGAGATGTAGATATGATTTTGGTGAACGGTCACACCCACGGAAAAGCATGTAAAAGAGTTATACGTACAAACATTATAGACAAATATGATCTAATATACAAACAAATATGATCTAATATACAAGACATATGATATATGATACAGATAATATGTTAGAGGATATCTAAACGTTTTAGAGAGCATGCAATTTAATTATATATATATATATATATTAATTTTATTTTTCAATGAAAAAAAGTTATTTTAGATATCAATATTTTATTTTGATTAAAAATAAATAGTTGAATAAATAATCAAAACAAAAGTAGTTGAATTGGATCAAGTTTGCGCGGTAACTCTCCCACGAAATTTACCACGCTTGGAGGTTAACTCGATACTAATAATTTGCCGCCGCTCATTTATTTTATTTACGAACGTATCCTTCTTCCCGCCCAAATGAAATAAATTACTCCTCTTCAACACTTCCACAGGAAGCCAAGCGAAAACCCGCAACAATGGCGCGAACGCAGAGACCCCCACGTCGCTCTCTAACCCCAATCGGTAAGCTTCTACGCCTTCCTCATCCTCTGTGGATACTCGGAATGATTTTGTGGCTTCTTCTTTCGTTTCTCGTTTCGCCGCTGTGGAAAAATCCGATTCAATATTGGATCTACTTAACTATGATTATCGTTTTCGGATTAGGATTATGATAATTCAGATGAAGTTATTGTTTCTCATGCTGGTTTTTTAGTTTGTGACTTTATTTTTTTGTTCGTTGATTTGTGCTAGTGGGGAAAGAGGGGCATGTTGTTGATGCTAATCCCCCAGAATGCGATGAAACAGGTAATAAGAATTAATGCTTGAACTGTATGGATTCTGACCTTATAGACGTGATTTATTTCTTTCTAATTTTGGCCTTGCTTAGGGATGGGAGAGAAATGTCACTCTCAGGGGGAGTATTCGTTTGTGCTCGTTAATCCGAATGAATTTGATAGTGTTAGCAAATCTTATCTTCAGGTGCATATCTGCGCTTATCTTATGTTGTTGGTGTTCTTCATTGGCTGCTGCTTTGTTACGACTACTAATTAAAGTAAAGATTATACCGCAGTACTTTGTTCAAGTTCTGTTAACTAAGCGTTGTGGCATTTTTTTTTTTTGTTTAATTAGAGTTCAGGCTGTTCAGCATGTCAAGTATAGAAGTGTAAGTTTTATACATTTGATAAAATCTGAGTTTAAATCTTTAAAAGATTAGTCTTACATTATGAGGTGAACGAAATAAAACATAACCAAATTATAGGAATTCTATTGGAAACCCCCCACTTTGCTTCGTCCTAAAATTTCAACGAAAGCTTGGAGCATTAGACATAATTCTCTTCTGGCTTGCTGCAATTATAGATTCATTATTTACCATTTGACAACGTTGCTTTCCTCTTCATGTTTAGTTAAGAAACAGAAATTGAATCCCCCAAAAGAATACTGTAGATGTAGGGAAGAAAAGACATTCCAATTGGCCTTGATCAAAAGAAAGTCCTAATTAAGTGTGTAGTTAGGCAGCTTTCAGATTGTACTTTGGAACTTTCAATATTTTTATCCTTATATTTTCACTTTTTTACCAAGAGTTGCAACTTATTCAAAGAATTATATTGTTAACAGATTTACATTTCATCTCCAAAGCTAATTAATATTATTTGGTTTGGTACTTCTGATTTATATCCTGGTACACAGTTAAATAGTCTTTTCTTGGTCACTTCTAAACTCGTCAATGTTGATTTTTTAGGCAGTATTATTATTATACAAAAGGGAACTGCCCGCAATGGTCTATGCTGCAAATACTGGGAAGCAATCAACTTTTATGGAGAAATGTGTATCTAATGGGTACAGAATTTTTTCCTTACCCTTTCCTAGTTTTGATTGCATGATTATGACTTGTGATCAATGATGATTTATGCTTAGATGCCGTGCTGTACTATTTATGTTTTTGACAATCATCTCTCCTTCCTGCAGGAAATATTGTACATTGCTGTTGAAATCCACATCTGAGGCTGATCCAGGAACGGTAAGCTCGGACACATTTACTGTTGGTACTCCCAGTTTTGTCAGCACGATTATCATCGTCATATCAATTATATCAATAGTCAATAGTCCATTTCCAAAAATCCTGCGTGGGTGCGTTCTTTATGGAACCATTTTTTAAAACCAGGTCATGACCTTGTGTATTGTTAAGAATTCATACAATTTTTTTTGCTTGCTGTGCATCGATTCTTATTATCCTTGGCCCTCGTTTTCTCTTGTTATTAATACACCATGAAGTTCAGAATGTACCAATCACCATTTATATTGATTCATCTTAGATCACCAAATATCTGAAAGTTCCTCTATTCAAATTTGTATCTCTTGTTGTACATCTCATTGGTAGCCAATGGAGTTTGAAAAGGTAAATCTTTGATGCTTCTGCATACATGGTTGAGTTATAAAATCTCATGTGCTGACATGACATATCTGAATGAATTGCTTCTAGTTAAAGAATAATGGATTTTATATGTTATTTATTATTTTTTTTTTAAAGATTTCTAATTCCCGTATATTTCTTTTTGTACAGATCATAGCTGCAATTACCTACCAAATAGTTCCTGCTGACACGCAATATGCTGAGATTCCTCTTGCTGCTGTCAGTTCAGCTTACCAACACAAGGTCTCTTTCGCTCCCTCTACCTCCCCTCACCTCAGGGGTGGAGGGTTCTAACTTTATTTAGTTTTGAATATCATTAATGGAAAGTAATTCCTTTTGCTATTGGATCCATTGGAGATTCGGAACTTACATTTTTTGTACTAGCCTCTTTCAGGGTTTTTGTCGCATACTATACATGGAACTTAGAAAAAGACTTCAAAGTGTTGGGATCCGCACAATATTCTGTTGGGGAGACAAGGAATCCGAAGGGTTTTGGTCCAAACAGGTAATAGTGATCGAACACATCTGCTATAAACATGGCGTGGATTTGTTTTCTGTTGATAAAATTTTGAATCACACAATTTTTACTTATCGTCTGGAAATGCATATTAGTTTATATGGAATATGGAAAATGCCTAATATTTGAAGTGAATGCAGGGTTTTTTGTCCATAGCAGAAGTGGACACCAAGGGAAAAGCTCGTAGAATACCTGTTAGAGCTGACATTCGTAGAGCTTTATGCTTTCCGGGTGGTTCTACCCTCATGGTTTCACACATTTACCAGGGAAGTTCAACGTGTTCAGCAGACAGGCCAAAGTCACGTACTCTATTAAAGCCTGATGTCCCTATATCGTATGAACTTGCCAAAAGAACTAGTGTCGCCAGTCAAGGTTGCAAGGTTTCAAATGCAATTGACCAGCAGACCACTGAGAATTTGAATTTCCAACCTGAAGAGTTTGCATCTTTGGTGCCCCTTGGAGGAGAAAACAAGATTCATGGTATTGTTCTGTAGGATAGTACATGAAAATTATTTTTCATATATTATTTAAGTGCCTCATAATGGTTGATTTAAGCAATTTTGTTCATGAATGAGTCTTAACATGCATAATAAGTTGTAAGCATGAAGATGCCAATGTAAATAATAAAAGGCTTAGAGAAAATAAGTTAAAGTCTTTGTGGTCATCAACTTAGATTTAATATCTTACGAGTGTCTTTGGCAACCAAATGTAATAGGGTTTGCTAGATTAGTTGAAATGTATGTATGCAAGTATGCTTGGAAGTTAAGTTTATTTATTATTATTTTTTTTTAAAGAATAATGAATGTGCTAGAGAATGGCGAGAAGTGCCTCTTTAATTCCGCTATCATTTAAACCTATTGGATGTCTACATATAAAAGTGTCTATCTTGGGGCAACGATATTAAGCAGATTGGGCTTAATCTATCTCAATCAATTAAGATTTATCTATCTTAATCAATTAAGATTTATGTCTGATTTTTTGTCCACTACCTGATTGTCTTCTTCGTTTTAAAGCTTTTTCCCCCTTTCTTTCTTTCTTTCTTCCTTCCTTCCTTCCTTCCTTTGGTAGTCACGGTGGCTAAAACCTGGTTTGTTGCTAACAGATTCTCAGAACCAGGACGCAGTGCCTGATTGCAATGGTCCAGTTTTTTTTGCAGAAGTAGAGAACCGAAAGACAGCTAGTAATGCAGAATTAACGAAGAATATTGGTAATTTAGATGAGATACAATGTTCCTGTTCTACCCAGAGAGCAAAGAGAGTTTGGGAAGCATCACTTTCTTCACTGAAGTCAAAGAAAGTAAAAGGAGTCCATCTGCAACATTCCCGTCCAGACTCTATCAGAAGTTTTGTTCCTGAAAGTAATGGATGTGATACCTGCTCTCAAGCATGCTCATTAGCCAATTCAAAGCATGAGATTTTGGCTAGTGTTCCCCCTAAAAATCCTTCAACCAGTAAATATACACAAAATTTCTGTGAAGAAATTGGAAGTGTTAATGTGGCATCAGAGGACCTCGTTAGCAAAGGACTTCACACGTTAGGAAAATCATTTAGAATAATGTTGATGAATATTGCTGATGAAGCTAAGAAAACTCAGCTCGTGAAGGTATGATACCATTTTATAAACTTTCTTGAACGTTCATCGTTCATGTTCCTTTTCTGAAACTTTCCAATTGATGGTGTTGAAGTTTTATATCCTCAGTATTCTCTATATTGTCTCAAGTACTTATTTTCTTCCACGTGTTTCCCCTCATAATGAACTTCTGCTAAGAGGTCCCATACCTAGTCATTGAACCTATCCATTTAGTCCTTAAGAGGCATATTTGGCTTATCGCTTCTACTAGTTTACATGCCCAGTCATTTTGCTTGATTAGACAGCTGATGCAAGTGTTTGAACTTTTTAGTTATGGCATCCTATGCAAGCAAATGAAGCTGTAGAAGTTGAACTTTATTTTTTATAACATTAATTAATATCCCTACCTAGGCTGGACAAATGAAGCTTGAAACTAACTATGTTGTTAACTCCGTTTTTTAATTGCAACATATTTTGATATCATTGTTTGAATTATGAATATTTGTCCTCGGGACACATGTTCACATGTATATTTTATGGATTTTGTAATTTTATTATGTTTCTGTATCTATTTTATATGGCATTAGATGTATATATTTTTAAATACTGATCTATAATTTTCTTTTATTCCAAATTGCGACTTTGCTAATGTTTAGTTGTTTTCTGATTCAGGTGATTGAGGAACTTGGTGGCTCTCTTACATCTGATGGGAGTACAAGCACCCATGTCATAACAGGAAAAGTCCGGAAAACTCTCAATTTCTGCACTGCTCTCTGTTCGGGGTTAGTCTTGCAACCTTAGACAAACATACTTCTTTAGTAGTTTCATGCTCGTAAATTTTGACCTTTGAGAACCAATTAACATCTCATTTGTGTCAAAGTTATCAATTCCAAGCACATGTGGCCTGTGCTTAGGCTGCAAATTGTTCTGAACCTTCAAAATTTTTCAGGGAATAGTTTCTTATTCTAATCCCTATTTATTTGTAAGTGTCAATATCAATTCTTATGTTGGACTGTATTATACTTTTTCTTTCCCTCTTACGGTCTGTTTGGTGTTTTAAATTCTCCACTTGTTGCATCTACGAGTGACTTTGTTCCTATCGTGATGGACTAGTGGTATCCCGTTTTACTGAAATGGTAGGCACGAGAAATGTCAAACACCTCTAGTTTTGAAAGTCGATAGTGAGTGATGTGTTTTTTATGGACATAAACAATTGAAATAGTACTGAAATTTCGAAGCTAAAAGAACTACAAGATATTTCAAGTTATTTCAAGCTATTTAGACCTTTCCTTTATTGAATACTCTCACTCTCACTCTCACTCAAGCCTAGGCCAACTAAACCAATACCCGCTCTCATTCTTTCCTATCCACTCTATTTATAGCAAATCATCATAAGACTTTCCTAGCTAATTACTTATATACTTAATATTCTAATAATATTCTTAATTTGATTGTAATAGAATTTCTTGGTTTCTAAAAATTGTGTTTTTGTACTAATTTTACTTCTTCAAGCTAGTGTTCTAACTTTGTTTCTTAGCTCCATGACTTTCGAGCATATGTATTATCATGTGTCTTCAAGCGTGTCATTGTGCTCTTGCTCATGAATATTACTGTTATAACTAAAATTAAAAGTTCATTGCAATTGCACAGAGCCTGGATTGTCTCCCCTAGTTGGTTAAAAGAAAGCTATCGGGAAGGCAGATTTGTAGGTGAGTTAGAATAACCTACTAGTATTCGAGCGTCATATATTTTCTACCTCTTCTTACGTTTTTCAAATTACATAATTTTTGTAATCTAGTAACTCTTTGATCTACAGACGAGTTTCCATACATACTAAATGATGACGACTACACATCCAAATATAGAGCCAGCCTAAAAACTGCAGTTCTCAGAGCAAAAGCTCGTCCTGGAGCTTTATTTGAAGGGTATGATGTTTGCATATCAGCTCACGCTCAACCACCACCGAAGACTCTTTCCGTGATAGTCAAGTCAGCCGGTGGAAATGTAAGTTCTCCCGTTTTTCAACAAATTTTACCTCGTAAACAAAGTTCAGTGTAGCATGTTTGATTCACTGTATTACGAATTCAACAACTATAATATAGTTAGCCTCCTGTGTAAATGTAGTGCTCATTTGAAGTTCTCAAAACCTGCCGACATCTATGCTTATTCTGATTCTAGGAATTGAGCATGTTATATAAAAATTATACGCTATTAGGAGGCATACTAGGATCATATATTCGTCTTTGTTTCTTTATTTACCTAGTTTGTTGAAATTCTTGATCTTCTCTCTCGATCGAAATCTGGAGTTCCCTTTTGTGTATCAGTGTACAAATATATCCGTGTTTTTAATGATGCAGGAATAGTTTTCTAGTGGCAATGATGCATTGTGTGGCTTGTCTTTGTTCTTGATATGTTTAATTTCATTTTGCCTATGTTTAAAATATATATTTGAATTCATAGATATCATTTTGGTCTGGTCTTTTCATATATTATTTTGTCATTTAATATTGTCTATCCAACACTCATCTCCTACACTTGTGATTTGGATATTTGTTATGTTAAAATATAAATATACATACTTGAAGTCACCATCAATTTACTAAAGTTCTAACTAAAATAAACATTTTATTTTAATAACTATGTTGGACTCTCGAAACTAAAATGGAACATTGTTAGAGACCAAAATAGAATATCCTTTAGAGCTCATGGACCAGAATAAGTTTAGGGGTCAAAATAAGATTTAAATCTTTTTGTGTAGGATTTGGTTGACCATATGCATCTTTTTCTTATTTGGTGAATCTTTTGTGCTTGAAAATTCAGGTTATTAATGGGCTGGGTAAAGTTAGTAGAGTATCGGAAACGATATTTGTAGCGTGCGAGGAAGACGTGGAGGAAGCTTTAATGGCTATAAAAGAAGGCATATGGACATTTAACAGTGAGTGGCTGATGAGCTGTGTGATGAGACAAGAACTAGATATGGAGGCCCCTCAGTTTGCTGAGTCCCTATAAGCATGAAGGTTGGCTTTCAGTTTTGGTCTCCAAGCCATTTCGCCCTTGTAAATTACTCTTTCTCACTCACTCTGATTTGGTAGTTAAACAATCTTTTGTTGTTCCATCTTTATATATATATATATATATATAGGTTCATTAGTATGTAAAGAATAATTTTATGGAAAGAAGATTGCTGAAGTTTCGTGGGATCTCTTCAGCTTACGGCACATGTAAGCTTCTTATTCTTATATTTGGTTCTAAAGTTTGAATTTAGTATCATTTTAGTCTTTATTGTCTTTTTTTTTTATAGTTAATTAGCTAAGGAAAAGTTGACTTGACATTTTTAGTAAACAGAAATGTTCCTTTTTATAATAAACAAATATTTTTACCTTTTGTATATATTCCTTTCTCAATTCTAAAATTCAGGTTTTAAGCACAAAATCCAAGATACCGCAAATAAAAGAGTAAGTGCAATAATATTCAATTTTAATTCAGTTCAAATTTCTATCCGTTTTATAATTACATATTTTTGCTGTTTAAAATTTCTATATATTATAGCAGGATCAATTCTTTTTCTCATTTTTGAGTTAAAAATATATAATTTAATTATGTTATCGAAGTAATTACATTTATTTATTATTATTCTTGGCTTTTACGCAACACTCCACCTCCTTCATTAAGACAATTGGTAATAAAGATTCAAACTTCGAAAATAAACCCATTCTAAATGGGTCGACCATACAAATTTGAACACACGCCACATGGCGAACACCCAGTGGGTAAGCTTGATCACCTGTCGCCATTTGATTGGTCCAATGACAGAATCAGTAGACAAAAATGAGAAACGAGAAAACCCAGAAGAACAAAAACTTAGATTTGCATTTTGCAGTCGAAGTCGAAGCACAGAGACTCACAACCGTCCGCCATGACTGCTCGCAAGAGAGCTTCTGCAAACCCATCAGTAAAAGAACCTTCTCCGAAAGAAATTGACAAAACCCATCAAACCAAATCCGCAAGAACTGATGATCCGCCCATTGCGCCACCAAAAGCAGGTTTCATCTTCAAGCTCGTGCTCTTCTTCTCTGTTCCATACCTCTACCTTATCTTCTATCGCTACAAGATCGACCTAGAGATTAGAAGATCGATTCTCATCAATGCCGGACTCAGTCTCGCTGGCTTCTTTGTCACTCTGCGGATGATTCCTGTGGCTTCCAGATACGTTATTAGGCGTAATTTGTTTGGCTATGATATCAACAAACGGGGTACCCCTCAAGGCGCTGTCAAAGTGTAAGTGATCTCAATTGGAAATTGAAAACTCTCATTTATGAACATGATTTTGTTTTTGTTTGCTTCAGACTAATTAACTTTCTCGGTGGGTTTTCATTTTGATTTTTGATCAATGCTGTGAATCTGGCGTGTATTTTTAGTTTAAATTAGGTTACGGGGATTCTTGTGTGTCATGTAGAATAATTGAGCTTAAGGTCAAGAAAACAAGCAATTTGATGGACAATCTAATTATTATTGCTCTAAAACGTCGGTATGGTTATTAGCTTCATCAGAGCTTTGAATTGGTTCATTTGAGGTTATTGTCTCTTGTGAATGTAGTTTTATTTGGTTACTAGTTTTGGGTCCTCAATGGTGCATCTTGTGCACAGGAGCATGGGAGGATATTGATCATTTGTTCTAGAGCTATCAGTTTGTACAATTGATTTGGGGCCAGTTTTCGGACTCCTATCGGGTTTCTTTTGTTCGTAATGGAGATTGTAGTTCCATGATGGAGGAGGTTGTGTTGTTCCCTCCTTTTAAGGATAAAGAGAAATCTCTTTGGCAGGCTTGGTTTTTTGTAGGTTTGCTTGGCTTGAAAGAAATAGTAGGATCTTCAAAGGGGTCGATCGGTCCCGAGACCTTCTGTCAGAACATCTTAATTAGGGGTTGTTCCTTTGGTTTGGAGGCCGTTTTTTAGGTTTGGGCGCTTCTTGTGCAGTTTGTCCTTGTGTATCCTTTCATATTTCTCAACGAAAGCTCAGTTTCTTACAAATAAAATAAATAAATGAGGAGAGAACGAAAAGAACTGATTTTCTTATGTGCTTTTGGATATTTACTTCTATAAAGAATACGTTATCAACACATGATGTGTTTTGAACTGAACATACCGTTCGGTGCACTTTCTGATACTTGAACGTGTTTTGCAGGCCTGAGTCGTTGGGAATTGTTGTCGGGATTTCCTTCTTGGTCGTGGCAATCGTGTTTCAGTACTTTAACTTCAAATCAGATTCAAATGTGAGCAACCTAGCTTATAAAAAAGTTCACCATTTGAATTTGGATTAGCCTATTAAAAAAATGCTCATCGTGTCATTGTTGCTGGGACGCTAACCTTTTCTGTTTCGTGGCCGTGGATTATATATGTTTTTCAAAGATTAAATTGTTAATAATGTGACAATGCAGTGGCTTGTTGAATACAATGCAGCTTTGGCATCTATTTGCTTTATGACATTGCTTGGATTTGTAGATGATGTTCTTGATGTCCCCTGGAGAGTGTGAGTATTTTCTACTCAGTTTCTCTCTTAAGTTTTGTTTTCATTTCTAAGAATGATCCTCTAGCATGCTGCTGTTGTTATTCTAAATGAAATGGCTTCTTTTATTTGTTGTAAAGAGCAGGAAACTGCTATTGCCATCCTTTGCTGCTCTTCCTTTGTTGATGGCTTATGCTGGACACACAACTATTATAATCCCAAAGCCGTTGATTCCATATCTTGGAATGGATGTTTTAGATCTTGGTAAGATTATTTACGCATTAGTAGAGGTGGGATCCGTGAGCTCATGAATATGACATCGTATTTAGCAATTAGCAGAGGTTATGATGATATCGTACATACTATTAATGGCCTGGAGAGCTCATGAATATGACATCGTATAGTAGAGGTTCTTAGAGGTCTCGACCTGTGTGCACCCAAAGAATGGATTAGCTCTAAGGAGTTGGTTCTGAACGTCTTGGAAATGAGAGAAGAAATTTATACCACTTAGATTGTGAGATCCCATATCGGTTGGGGTGGAGGACGAATTTTTTTTTATAAAGATGTGGAAACCTCTCCCTAGCAGACTCGTTTTAAAAACCTTGAGGGGAAGCCCAAAAGGGAAAACTCACAGAGGACAATTTCTGCTAGCGGTGGACTTGGGCTGTTACAAATGGTATCAGAGCCAGACACTAGGCGTGCGCCAATGAGGAGAATAAGCCCTGAAGGGGGGTGGATTGGAGGGTCGCACATCGATTAGAGAAGCGAACGAGTGTCAGTGAGGTCGCTGGGCCCAGTTGGGGAGGAGAACGAAACATTCTTTATAAGAGTGTGGAAACCTCTCCCTAGCAGATACGTTTTAAAAACCTTGAGGAGGGAAAGCCCAAAGAGGACAATATCTGCTAGCGGTGGGCGTGGACTGTTACATAAACGCCTCTAAGAACCTAGTAGACTACCATGACACCCAAAAAGGAAAAAGGTAGCTCTCAGGCCATTAACAGTATGTACGATATCATAAAAAAAAAATACGATGTTAATAGATAATTTATGTTAGAGATGGACTCCGTGAGCTCATGAATATTATTTATGCATTTTCTCACAATTATTTATTAATTTCTACTAATTTGTGATTCGCAGGATGGATATATAAACTTTATATGGGACTGTTGGCAGTGTTCTGTACAAACTCCATTAACATTCATGCTGGTTTAAATGGCTTGGAAGTTGGGCAAACGGTTGTCATTGCATTTGCTGTAAGTATTGAACAAGCTGCAGTGATGTGATCCAATTTTCTTTTCTTGAGCATGACATGTCTTACCAATTTTCCAGATCTTGATTCACAATATCATGCAAATTGGAGCATCGACGGATCTCGAGTACAAGCAGGCGCACACGTTTTCTATTTATCTTGTTCAACCCCTATTAGCCACATCGTTGGGCTTGCTTGCTTACAATTGGTAATAGATATATCATGCTGTACAAAATTTGTGGTTGTACCAGTTTATCTTTCTGATGGCTTGCTTGATTTAGGTACCCTTCATCGGTCTTTGTTGGAGATACCTACACATACTTTGCTGGGATGACTATGGCTGTGGTTGGGATTTTAGGCCATTTTAGGTTTGTTCTTTGTTCCAAGTTTTAATCTTTTCATTCCACCTTCTGGCTTATCTTCACCTTTATATAAGTTGATAAATACCACAAATGAAAAACAAAAAGGTTTTCTCGTAGTGTTACTCGAGAGGAAGTGATTGCTTTGGCCTGTGACGTATTGTCGTCAGCCTCATGGTTTTAAAACGTGTCTACTAGGGTGAGGTTTTCACACCTTTATAAGGAATGTTTCGTTCCCCTCTCCAACTGATGTGGGATCTCACAATCCACCCTCTTGGGGTCTAGCGTCCTCACTGGCGTACCACCCGGTGTCTGGCTCTAGTACCATTTGTAACAGCCCAAGCCCACCTCTAGTAGATACTGTCTGCTTTGGCTCGTTATGTATCGCTGCCAGCCTCATGGTTTTAAAACGCGTCTACTAGGAAGAGGTTTCCACACCCTTATAAGGAATATTTCGTTCCTCTCTTCAACTAATGTGGGATCTCACAATCCACCTCCTTGCCATTAGCCCAAGCTTCAACTAGTAGATATTGTCCACTTTGGCCCATTACGCACCACCGTATCGCCGTCAGCCTCACGGTTTTAAAACGTGTCTACTAGGGAGAGGTTTCCACACTCTTATAAGAAATATTTCGTTCCCTTCTCCAATCGATGTAGGATCTCACAAGTGTGTGCAACCCTCTCTTGCCAATTTTCATTTATCTCTTCAAAGTTCTATCGTTTCTTTCTATCCAATCAGCCAAAGAAGATGGCTTTAGTATGACTCTTCCAAAGCATCCATAGCTTTCCCCCTTTCTCCTTGATACACTCAAGCCTAAACAACTGAAATGTTGTCTACCGATTCCATGTTTCAATCATATCCACGTGAAAAACCTCCTCAATTGGACGACATTTGTTCGACGATACTGTTTCAAGGATTTGGCAGTTATGGAAAGAAATCCTCGATTTCTTTGTCATGCCATACGTTCAAGTATTGGCGTTAATTGGGCTCTATTTGCATTAGTTCTTATCATTTTTTAAGAAACCGAGCTTTTATTGAGAAAAATGAAACGAAGTACTAAACAAACGGATCCTATCTAAGAGTATCAAACTCATGGTTATGGTTTTCATTGCTGCAGTGAAACTCTTCTGATCTTCTTTTTCCCTCAAGTTCTGAACTTCCTTCTCTCACTCCCCCAGGTTTGATCCTCTCTATCTGTGTGTAAGACTTAACTGTATAAGTTCATCGTTTAACGTGCAAGATGTATGCGTTCGCAGTTATTCGGATTTATCGCATGTCCACGTCATCGGTTACCTCGGTATTCGTTATCCTATCTCGATGTTCTTCTAAAAAAAGACATCCTCCTTCATAATTTAGTGTTCTTATTATTATCTTCTTGTCCTTAGGTTTGATCCTCAAACTGGATTACTGACTGGAACAAATGATGGAACACTAGTGAACGTTTTCTTGCGAATATTTGGGAGAAAAACAGAGAAATCACTCTGCACCTACCTTCTTGTTTTCCAGGTGATTTCCTCGCTTTTACTTTTTTCTTGTATTCAAAGGCAGAGCAACTCGAACAAACGATGGAACACTTCGGAGCTTGTTCTATTTTAGTCCTTGTACTTTCGATTAATCTGAAAATTAGTCTCTACCATCCATATTTAGCTAAAAGAGTCGAGTCAAATGCTTCTCTATGTTTTGTTCTGTCTAATCTTCTGATGATCGTGTCGTCGAGCAGGGCGTTTTCTGCTGCTTCTGTTTCTTGCTGAGGTATTTGCTTGCTGGATGGTACAAGTGATGTTGCAGCAATACAATGTTGGGTTTGAAGCTTTTTAGGATCCATGGAAGAGTTTCGACAATTTTTCGAGTAGTTTGAAATATATTCATGTAAAAGTGATGAACCATTTTGTTATCTGATAGGCAAACCAGAAAATGAAATGCTGTTGTGGGAATGTTTTGTGACTAACACATACTGTATTTTGACTTGAGAGAAAGGGGAAAAAATGGCTTGGTTTAGCTTAGAATTTTGTTTATCTTTGGTTGCATCACATCTAGATTGGAAGCTCCATGCGCATTTGGTTGAATGGGTGCCCGAGCAACTCCGACAACTTAAATAGAGTTTATAACCTAATTTAGCCCAACCCTCTATTTTCAAGGTGGGTTGGATGGTTGTTTTTTTAATTTTTTAAAAAAAAATCTATTTATCTTACATTGATAACTTAAATCTCACGAATCTCAAGTCATAACGCATTACAATGTCGAATATTCTTAATTTTTATAATAATTTTAATAGAAGGGTAGGTAGGGTTGAGTTTTAACCTTATTTTTTGGTTATTCGGGTTCATTCGACCAAAAAAACTGTTCATTTTTTAAAAAATTCGACCCAACTCAACCTGAAAAAATATAACTTAATCCAACCTTTGTAGTTTGGGTTGATTAGGTTCTCAACATGAACCATTTCTCGAAGTATGTGTCCAGATAGCCTAAAGTCTCGATCGTTAGCTCTCGGTCTTCTGATTAAAAAACATCGTTGATGGGTGCACTATTACAAGACTTTTTAGATTTGAACTAATTTAATATTTTTTTCAAAAAATAATTTACGTTCACCGGAGTATGGTTCCAAGGAAGGCATAGACACAACACGAGAGCTTTGGATTAAGAAACTATGAATGATGAAAATGAGAGCTAAATTAAGAATTTAATGTGAAAATTAAGGAGTTTGAGTCCACGCGCCTTCCCCCTCTAATGCAACCTACTCGCCATTTCATACAAATTCTCCAAGTTGCTTCTCTAAACCCTCGTCAAACCCTCTCTTCTTCATCATGAACATCTCTTCCCTTGCTTTCGACCCCACTTTTTTCCCCGCCACTAAATCCGCATCGCCGACATGCCGGAGACTCATCTCTGGACGCCATCCGGCTCTCTTTGTTTGCTGCTCTGCTAACCCCGCGGCGGCGGTAAGTTCGTCTGTGATTGTGCCGGAGTCGGCAAAGAAGGACGGACTGAAGCGAATTGGGGAACTCAGTCAAGTTTCTGGAGTGCTGGGATGCCAGTGGGGTGATGAAGGTAAAGGTAAACTCGTTGACATCTTGGCTCCACACTTTGAAATTGTCGCTCGCTGTCAGGTACTCTCAATATTTGATTGCTTTTTTTTTTTTTTTGTTTTTTTTTTCTTTGGAGGGTTTTGGGGCTTAGGTTTTTGTCTTTTTTCTTCTGCTTCTGCTATTGCATCTGGATTTATTGATTGACTTGCTAGTTTCTATTGCCTGTCAACCTTGTTTTCTCCTGTTTCAAATTTCAGCCTCTCTGTTTCTTTAGTTTGACCTTTTTGTCTCCATTTCTTAGCTTTCTTTTTGTTTCTAAAGCATATAAGCATCATCTCTAATCTTGAGTTGTTCTATTTGTAATAGTGACAGCAAAAGAGGGCTTTTGATTATAGATTGTCCAGTGTCCATTGTCGTGTTTTTATGTGATACCCTGATGTGAATGCTACTTTAGGTTTCTGAAAGATCAAACTGATTTGCAGGGTGGGGCTAATGCTGGGCACACAATATATAATGCAGAAGGAAAGAAGTTTGCTCTTCATCTCATCCCTTCTGGGATCCTTAATGAAAATACTACATGTGTTATTGGAAATGGAGTTGTGGTGCACGTGCCTGGTTTCTTTGAAGAAATTGATCGTTTAGAAGCAAGTGGAGTCTCGTGCAAGGGGAGGATCTTGGTTTCTGATCGGGCCCATCTGTTATTTGATTTCCATCAGGAGGTGGATGGGCTAAGAGAAGCTGAGCTAGCTAAGTCTTTCATTGGAACAACCAGGAGAGGAATTGGACCTTGTTACTCTAGTAAAGTGATTAGGAATGGCGTTAGAGTGGGAGATTTGAGGCACTTGGACACCCTTCCTCAAACTATGGACCTTCTACTCTCGGATGCTGCTTCGAGATTCAAAGATTTTAACTATACCCCTGAAGTTTTGAAGGAAGAAGTTGAGAAGTATAAAAGATATGCTGAGAGATTGGAACCATTTATCACTGACACGGTGCATTTCATTAATGAAGCCATCTCTTCGAATAAGAAGATTTTGGTTGAAGGCGGTCAAGCAACTATGCTTGACATTGACTTCGGGACATATCCTTTTGTAACATCCTCTAGTCCTTCAGCAGGTGGAATTTGCACTGGTCTTGGGATTGCTCCAAAAGTTGTGGGTGATCTTATTGGAGTGGTGAGTTTTTCTACTAAACTTTTCACTTCATTTTCATATATGCTTTGAAAGTATCTATGGAGGAACTCATGGTATCTAGAAAAACCTTTGAAAGTATGTAAACCATTATTCATCCTTGGGGAGACATTCAAGTATCATTGATCTTATTCTTTGGTGTATTAACGAAAAGCATGAGTGACAGTTTATATATTGTATATGCACACCCATAAGGTTCTCTGTCGATCTTTGCAGGTGAAGGCATACACTACTAGAGTTGGTTCTGGCCCTTTTCCTACAGAGATCTTAGGAAGAGGAGGTGACCTACTTAGGTCTGCTGGACATGAATTTGGTACCACAACTGGTCGTCCTCGTCGCTGTGGTTGGCTTGATATAGTTGCACTAAAGTACTGTTGTCAAATTAATGGCTTTTCTTCTCTGAATCTTACGAAGCTTGACGTTCTTTCGGAACTGCCTGAGATTCAACTGGGGGTTTCTTATCAGACACCAGATGGAACACCAGTCAAATCCTTTCCTGCTGATCTTAGTCTTCTTGAAGAAATAAAGGCAAGCAATTATGCATTACTTTTCTTATTTGTTTCTCATTTTCCCTACATTTTTCACGTGGTTTTTCAGTTTTACTTCCGTAAAGTTGTTGGAATGTTGGGACTCTGCTGCATATTTTGGATTTTCTTGGGTACTTGGTGTCTTCATTAAGATCAATTTTACTCAATTGTTTGTTTGGTGGGTATGGCTTTAAAAGATGAGCCAAAAGTTTATAGGTCTACGCCATTAATTCATGTGAATTTTTCAACTTGAGCAACTGTTTTGTTTGTGTAACTGTGTAGTAAGTTTCCAATCGTTTTCATGATAAATAGCTTGCATGTTTTCAAGTCATGGACTATATTAGGCATTCAAATTTTCTTAAATTCAAGATCTTGGAACACCTGGTTCTAAAATCTTAACAATATTATTTTAATTTTTCCCATTTGTCTCTCCTATGTGTAGGTGGAATATGAGACAGTGCCTGGATGGATGTGTGACATCTCTTCAATAAGAGACTATTCTGACCTTCCTAAGGCTGCACAAGAATATGTATCAAGGATTGAACAACATGTTGGCATACCTGTCCATTACGTAGGTGTCGGTCCAGGCCGTGATGCACTGTTATATAAATGATTCAGCTTGTCGGTTGATCCTTGACGATGTCGTTGGAGCTCCAAGTAAGGTTTCAGCTTGCACTGGTAGAGGAAATTCAACAATTTAACATAAGCATTTGAATGTGATATTTGTTGTTGAGGCTGTTGTAACATTTCCCATATGACTAGGAGAGGTTAATATAGGTGTTCCAAGGAAGGCTTTAATTAGCTTAGGAAATGGTATGGATTCAGATAGACCAACAAGAATAATTATTACCATACGACGATAATAACGAGTTCGAATCAATTTTTGGCGAAATTTATGTTAAATTTATCTGAGTTGAAAATGAAGTGTTGAAATTTGATTTTGAAATTGATATTCTAGAAATCTAAACTAGCTACCCGAAGACATTTTTAGAAAATTTATGGATCTTTTCTTATTTAGGTAGTTTGATATAAACTTGTGATTTGAAATGATGCTCTTTTCCTCGGGCAGTATATATATCATATGGAGGATCATGTTCTTATTCACATGGATATAGTCCATAAGGCTTCTTATGAATGAGTTCATGAGCGGGGAGAGCTTTCTCATTGTTAGCTAAATTGCGGGAGAGCTTTCTCATTGTTAGCTAAATTGGGGGAGAGTTTTCTCATTGTTAGCTAAATTGGGCCCGAGATGAAGATTATATTATGGTCTTTAAACGAGACCCAATTTATAAACTCTTTTATAATTTTCTTTTTAAATTGCAATGACTTTGGCAAAATGCTTGAGAGTGATGAGGAATGCTTTTATAGGGATGCACGGAAAGCTTCCTTAAGACCCGATTATTATAGATTTAGTACCAATCGTGACATTTGACGTCTATGACTTACCCTTTGCAGATTCGCTTTTTCTTCATTCCTACAATTTGTTAATTATGTTTTTGTCGATATATTTTCCCTCAAACAAACAGCTTTGAGGTCAAGAAAAGATTAGATCTGTTGTGGACGGAGGAGTACAGAAGAAGAGAGTAGACAGCTGTAGTGAGAATACTTAAAGCCATTTTAGATACGAAAAGACAGTTCAGGAGGAGTTAAAATTCGCAGATAGCACCACAAGGAACCTACCTTCTTTTTTTCTTGAGAGAGTAGATGTAATGTAAGAGTGGTGATAACCACTAATTGAATTAGGTGGTGATCCACTACAAATCCTTGCTTCATAGCATCTCATTGTTATACACAAGGCTTATCTTGGGTAGGTTTTGGGCCATCTTTATCTTCCAAACGACTGTCTTTTGCTGTCCTATCACAATAACTCATGACACTTGACAAGACGAACAACATTCATCTCAAACAATCTTTGAATCAAATGGAAGAAAAGGAAAATTTTGAAAGCAATCATAGTCTCAACAGTCCAAACCATTCAAAACCCTTTTAAGGCATGCCTTGTTTTCGCCCTCAAATCATTGATTGTAGCCCACAATATTTATGGGTCGAGAAAAGTTTTGATCTTTGTATACTTATTTGAAAACTACGTACTTGTTAAAGTAATGGAAAGATCAGATATGTCACTTATAAGGAATCAGTCTTGTGAAGTGACGATTTTGATATACCTTTTTAAATGTAGCATGTCTCTTACGGGAGCTTTTTATTTTGTCTTAGAGCAATTATTTTTTTCGTGTTGTCAAAGAGTTTTAACAGTAAAAATAGA